GGCCTTAATTTACTGGGATACGCCTTTTCCGTTATCTTACTTTTACTAGGAAGCCCTCCTCCTATCCTCTTCCTAAGATACCACCAGCGCTCCGGATATTATTTAACTTTCCGGTATATTATTTTCTTAAAACCGCTCTCCGTATTCGTTTACTCGGAAATTATTCTATACCCCCGAATATTCCGTTCGTTTCATAGGTTACGTTTCTGTTTTTTAAATTATTATTTTCGTTTCCCGAGATATTATCACTTTTCGGAACTTTCTTTTTTTCTTAAAATATTACTACTTCCTAAAGGTTATCGTTCCGATCCTTTTATTAAACCGTAAAACTTTAAAGCCCTGTATACAAAATTGTATATAAACGCTTATTAAATTTAACCTAACTTCCGTAGCTATAGAATTGTCAGTTTATTTACCGCCGTTTAAAGACCTTTATTTATTTTCCGTTAACGAATCTTGTCGGATCCGTCGGAAAACGTATTCAAATACGCCGTTTTTATTTGTTTCAAAATTATCATTTATCCGTATTTATTAACAAAATCCTTCGGGTTTCGTAAAAAACGCACTAGATACGCCTTTCCGTTTATTATTAAAAGATTTAAAGTTTCTCTTACTATTTAAAAGTTGAAGACTTATCTGTATCGTTAACGAAACTACGAAGCTGCGCTAAAAAGCGTATTAAAAATACGCTATTCTTTCTATTATTAACGCTTTTAATACTTTTATCGAAATATTATTATCCTAACTAACTTTATCATTTCGTCGTTATTTTAACGTCGCTTCTTTCTTATATCACGTCTCGGGCGCTTTTAACTTTTTATTAAGCATTATATTTTAACGCTTTACTATCTTTTTAGGAAAAAAACTTTTCTATCTTCTTTAACTACCGATTTCGTTGATTATGAATATTTCTAAACGTTTCTATATCGTATCTTCTTCGAAATTACCGTTTAAATCTACGTTTTCTTAGATATTATCGATCATTTCTTCAGTTATCTTCTATCGGTTTTCTCTCATAGTTACTACTGACGCGTATATCTAAAGGTTAATACCGCTTTTATAACTATTAATTTAACTAGTTATTGTAGTGGTGCGGTGGATCTAGGCCACGTAGCCTTTTCGATATCTATTTATATGGGTCGCGCACTTATATTCTCATCAGTTAGACTTAGACCTATAGCTATCACAGTAGCCATTACGGCCTTATAGCTATTCACTCGTTTCTTGCCATGCCTTTCTAGCCATCCTCCTTGCCCTCCTTTTCTAGTCTCTCCCTTTCCCAGCTGCCGTTTTCAGCTGGCCGATCAACCGATTATAGCTATTTACAGCTGTGATCTTGGTTGATCGGCACTGGGCCAGTTGTTGGCAGTTGGGCAGTCCTTGTTTCGTGCCTCCATCACAGCGTGCCCACGCTGCTCCTGTTCATTATCTTTTTCTTAAGTATTAATATCGTTTTTTCCACTATGAATTCCGTTTGTTAAAATACTTATTTCTATCCGTCCTCTTTCGTAGATACTACCAGCGCATATATCTAAAAATCAATACCGTATTCCTAACTATTCGTTTTATTAACTACTGCTTCTTTAAGTACTATACCGCCGTTCCTATTATTAATTCTGCTCGCTTTGATATTAATTCCGTAAAACGATTAAAATAAAGTTAGTTTAGCTTTTTATTACGAGTTTAAAAGTTATATACTAAATAAAACCCGTATATAAATGATTTAAAGCTAAACGAGGAAAAAATAAGAAAAAGTACGCCTTATAAGCCGTATTTATAATAGCTACCCTTATTTTCCGTAAGTACTAGGCTAATTACGTACTATACCCTAGCGCTAATTAAGGCTTTACAATATGCATAGCCTATAATAGATGCATCTTTTTTACCCAGGCCGTACAAGCTTTTAACTAATTAAAACGCGTATACGAACTTTTAGTTAATAAAAATACAGTTTTCTCTAAATTTATAAAGCTATTTATAGAGCTATTATCACGTAGCTATATAAAGGAGCTACGTGCGAGAGCGCGCGTAGAGAGCTATCTTACGAGCAATAGGAGGAGGAGCGAAAGGAGAGAAAAAGTCATAGATCTATCTAAAAACGAGCTAGAGGAGTGGAAGCAATGGAAGCGTATATATAGAAGCTCCTGTTGCTGAGGTAAGCAATGAAGAGGCGAATCCTCTACGTGAAAACTATTTATAGAGCAATTTACAGTACTATTTTTATAAAAGTATTCACCATTATAATTAATTAGTATAATAGAGGGTTTAATGTATTAAAATATGTTAAAGCACTCTGTGCTTTTTTATGCTTTTATACCGAAAATCTAGAATCTCTCCGAAGGCTAGAGAAAAAGAGTACGTATGAATTAACGTTTAATTAAACTACAAAAGGAAATTAATTTACAATCGATTTTTAATTAAATAAAAAGAAATAAACCTCGATTAATTTGTATATAAATGAAACTAAACTATGAAAAAGAATTAGTAATTAATTTTTAAATAGCGAGAAACTAACTTTGATTAATTTATATATAAATAGAATTAAAATAAGTAGAAAATCGATGCGTTAATAAGTAAATAGTAATATATAAATCCCGCTACATATGCTGCGGTTTTATTAGATATATTCCTTTTAAGCAAGCTATTAAGGAGGAGCAGAGCGTACGCGATACTAGAGACCCGGATAGGTTTACTCGAAAGTGTACTTTATCGAAGACTATAGCTCGTACGATGGTCTAAGATGGATGAAACTAATACCGCTATACTAATCGAAAGATAAGGAATCTAATGTAGTTATCGTATCTTAGCTATATCCCTTAGTCGTAGAGATATAGTAGTCGCTAACCCGAAGGCATAAGAAGTAAGGGGAGAAAAGGGATAAAACGTAAAAGTTACTTATTCGGCTATAGCGGTACGACGAAGTAACTTAAGCGCCTATAACTAAAATAAATATATTAATCGGAGAACGACGAATTTAATGATAAAAATAAATGTTTAATTAAGGTAAAAATAATAAAGATAGTAATCTAACTAAGTAATAAATTAAATAATAAACATAGCATATCCCGTACTTACGGGAGCTATAGTTACTCTATATAGGCATAAGGCCTATCATAACGTATTACGTAATGCATTAAGAGGGCATATCTTACCGTACTACTATACTATACAAACTTTTAACTAATTAAAATACATATATAAACTTTTAGTTAATGAAAATAAAGTTTTCCTTAAATTTATAACCGTATTTACAAAGATATTTATAAAGGTATTTAACCTTGTAATTAATTAGCATGACAGTAAGCTTAACGTATTATAACTATTAAATAGGAGCAGCGTGGGCACGCTAACGGAGGCTCGAAAAAAGAACTACCCAACCGCCAACAACTGGCCCAGTGCCGATCAACCAAGATCACAGCTGTAAACAGCTGTAATCGGTTGATCGGCCAGCTGAAAACGGCAGCTGGGAAAGGGAAGACTAGAAAAAGAAGGTAACGAAGATAGCTAGAAAGGCATGATAAGAAACGAGTGAATAGCTGTAGGTCGTGATGCCTGTGATAGCTACGGGTCTAAGTCTGACTGATGAAAATATGAGTGCGCGACCCGTATAAATACACATCGAAAAGGTTACGTGGCCTAGATCCACTGCACCACTACACTATCTTGCGTATGAGATTAATATATTAACTTTTTGAAAACAATTTACTATAGCATATATATAATACTCTGTTACGTAGTAATTAAACCAGCCTATATAAGCCTACATACCGTAAAGCGTGAATGTAGACGTCTACGTTTTACGTGATAGGTATAAGCCCGGTTAGCGCTCTAAGGTACTAGTAGCTTAGTAGTTCGGTTCCCTTAATTACGCGTATACGGCGTAGTAAGCGTAGCCCCTTACGCGGTAAAGCCCCAGAGCTAGATTAGAACTAGCAGTAAGGTATCGCGCCAAGAGGTAGGGGGTTTAATTCTCCACGAGGGGCCTTAAAAAAGGCGGTCGGACGTTAGTAGTTATTAACCCACCTACTAGAGGTATTTAAAAACTAAGGGGTATATTATGTAGTAATTAAACTAGCCTATATAAGCCTACATACCGCAAAGCGTGAATGTAGGCGTTTACGTTTTACGTGACATACTCTAAAATCTAAAGTTTAACTTATAATAAAGCACTAAATATAAAACTTAAATAAAAATAAAATATAAGCTTAAGCTAATATACTTTATTATTATCCGTATTCGAAGGATAGTTATAATACGTTAAACCTCTTATTATGCTGATCAATTTACAAGGGTAATTCCCTTATAAAAATAATCTTATAAATAACCCTATAAATAACCTTATAAATAACTCTATAAATATAGAGTTATTTAAAGGATACTCTATTTTTATTAGCTAAAAGTTCGTATACGCCGTTTGAATTAATTAAAAGCTCATACGACCTGCTTAAAAGGAATGCATCTAATAAAACCACAGTATACGCGTCTATCTATTTACTTAATAACACGTTTAATTATATTTTCTACTTATTTTAACCCTATTTATATATAAATTAATAAAAGTTAATTTCTCTTCGTTTAATCCAGGTTAGTTTCTCTCTATTTAATTAATCCCTTTTCGTAGTTAAATTAAGCGTCAATTCCTGCTTACTTCTTTTTCCATAGCCTTTAGAGAGGTTTTAAGTTTTCGATACGAAAACCTAGAGAAGCGCAGAGTACTTTGACGTATTTTATTTACTTTATTTCTATGAAGTATATTAATTAAAAATAACTCCTTATTAAGTATAGGTACTTATGTAGGTAACTATACCTAGCATCTGGTAGGCGGGTCCGAAATAAACCAGGCATATCTATGTACTAGCGTACCTGCGTAGCAGCTTCAGCCAGCTGTCCATTGGAAACAAAACACCTTAACTGCTTATCTAAGTCTCTAGGAGCTTGCTCTCTTCTCGCCCTTTCTTTATCTCTTTCTCCATGTAAAGAACTCCTGACCCCCTAACGCCATGAAGTTTACTGCAGTCTCAGCAGCAGCGTGCTTCTTGGTCTCGCAGGCACTTGGCGCAATCAACATATCTCAGCCGTCATTGTCGTCCAAGATCACCCTCCCGGCTACCTTCAAACCGCCGCAGGTCTTCAAGAATGCCAACTTGGTGCATGTCATCTCTCTGGAGAAGAACTTCGCAAAAGAGTCCATCAATGTTCTGATTGAGAATACGTCAACAGAACCGCAGGATGAATACTTCCTCCCTTTTATGCGAGGCCAGGTCAAGAATGTAGGAGGCATTGAGGTTAAGGATAGGAAAGATGCCAGCTTGTTGGGGTTTTCCGTGGAAGCTGTTGAATTCGACAGACAGAGGTATGAAAACATTACCTCCTAGACTTCTCTCCCGCCGCCCTTCTCTTCTGTTGACGTCTTGTATCCTTAGCGATACTCAATACTACCGCATTCGACTACCTACACCATTGCCAGTAAAAGGTCAACAGACGCTAGGAATTTCCTTCTACCTTCTTAATGCTTTTGCGCCATTGCCAACCGCTATTGAGCAGTCTGACAAGCAATACCTTGTCTACCATTTCTCAGCATACTGCCCATCAGTCTATCCCACGTTGAAGCAGAAGACGGAGGTTAAATTTCCATCCTCTGATATCCCGGACTATACTAGGATCGCTGGTAGCGGAGAGACTAAAGAGTTTCCTCAGAAGCAAGGGTCGAAGCTAACCTATGGCCCTTTCCTCGAAGTCCCAGCCGGCGCGGTATCTCCTGTCACAGTACGGTACGAGTTTACGAAACCAGTAACGCACGTGTCAGAGCTAGAGCGGGACGTTGAGGTCAGCCATTGGGGCGGCAATATCGCGTTCGAGGAGCGATATACTCTCCACAATCAAGGCGCGAACCTCTCGTCGCAGTTCAACAGAGTCAAATGGGCGCAGTCCCAGTACTTCAACCCGCAGACGTACGCTCTAAAAGAGATGAAGTTCCCCCTCCGGATTGGAAGTAAGGATGCGTATTTTACAGATGCCATTGGCAATGTATCTACGTCGCGCTTCCGTTCTAATAGGCGAGAGGCCGTTCTTGAACTCAAACCCCGGTATCCCGTTTTTGGCGGTTGGAAGTATCCCTTCACGATCGGATGGAACGCCGACTCGAGGCACTTCTTGAGGAAGCAGTCTGGCGATAGCTATCTGTTGAACGTGCCCTTTATCGAGGGGCCTAAGCAGTCGGAAGGCATCTCGTTTGAGCGTATACAGATTCGTGTTTTCTTGCCAGAGGGCGCCGAGTATGTGCCCCCCTGTGACTTGCGCTACGTCGACGCAGATATATACTAACCGTCACCTTTCAGGAACGTTCGGTTCTACACAAATATTCCCGGGTCCGCCATTACACATTATACGGTTGATCTACAAAAGATATATCTGGACACCATTGGCCGAACAGTCCTAACAATTAAGGCAAAGAACTTGGCAGACGACTTCCGAGACCGCGATTTGGTCGTCTCCTACGACTATTCGATAGCGGCGAGCCTTCGGAAGCCATTGATAGTATTTGCCAGCACGATGGCGGTATTCGTCGGAATGTGGGTTGTCTCAAAAGTGAATGTCAAGTTTTCGACAACATAAAAGACCTTTGACTTCCCCAGGGGAAGGAGGGCGGGAGGCGCGACGCACATCGTGTACAGTACAGGGTTTCCATGGGATCTGAGCGTAGCATAAACAGCCCTAAGGAGGAGGAGGGGGGAAGGTTGCTTAGCTTAAGGCACACAGGTCCAGCATGAAGAATACGACTTTGACGCATTTCCTTCTCATTTGCACTTTAATCAATCCCCTCCCTATGAGGACCCTGGCTTGGCGGCATGCGCTGAGGTGAATGGGGATAACCTCACACCGTTTTCGGTATATCTGAATGGCCGAGTTAGCCTGCGAATAGGCCCGCTACAAGAATCCCCACCGGACTGTTGTACAGGGTCTCAGCAATGCCAATGCAAAATACGCAGCAGCAGACGCGTTGGTTGAGCCTCGGGTCTATGTAGACGCACGCAGGCATCTGTATACCTGCTACAAGTGGTACATGGGGGGGCAGGTTTACTACCCAACCCCAAGGCACCAGGAGGGGAGGGGGTGCCAGCCGACAGACATTGGTATCCGTATGGATAACTATGGGCTTGACGGCTAGACGCAATGTTGCTAGGATCGGCACCTTGTTAACCGCTACCTCGACCCGCCTCTTCCATGCTTGTTACTGTTGCCACCGTGGTGTAGGTTAGGTCATATATGGCTTGCTTATGTTCAGCCCTCGAACTGTCTGGGTAGTAGACTGGCTAACGATATGGCCGGCTTTATAGGTAAGGCTCTTGGGGGGGGGGGGGGGGTTGGACGTCGTGGCTGTGGCTCCTGTTGCAGCTTAAGCAAGGAAGGGAAGAGGGCAAGAAGGGGGAGCTAGGGGGGGGGGGTGACATAACCTACATTTTAGTCCTACCATGACTCGGGCAGATGGGAGATAAATAAAGGCCCAGTCGACCCTCCCCGAGTCTCTCAGCATCCACCACATCGGATGCAAGGCTGCTGCCCCGCTAGGTATTTCTTTGAATTCGCCAGAAAGCGTCGAAAATTGCCCAGCACTTGACTACCTACGTCTATACCTCCACATCCCATACCCTCGGGGGATTGGGTGGTCACTCACCGCGGGTCTTCTCGACAAGTCCAAGTGACGACTACTCGAATACCGGATTCGCCCACGGCTCCTTTCTGACAGCCTGCACCGGAGTGCCGTTTCTGGGAAGGCCTAAATGTGCTTCCGCGCCGAGCCCTCGCGGGCCAAGTACTACTACCACGAAGAGTACGTTCCCGTGAGACCGCATCACGGGCACCACCAGCACCACCACCATCAACATCGCTCGGCGATTCCGAGGGCTAGTTATCATTCGCATCATAGCCCACGTGTGAGCGCCACTAGTTACCGGCACGGGGGCCCAGTTGTGTACGAGAGGGCGAGCCAGACAAGATACCACTAAGATGTCATCCTTCTCCTCCCCGGAAAGCGGTGCCGGGCACTAGAGTGCTCTTGTTCGATCAACAGGCAGACAACTCTCCAGGTTTCCGTGGTCGCCGTTGCTGGCGGCAGGTGTAGCGTCCCTTATCCTGACGACTTGACGTTGTTGGGGGGGGGGGGGATGGCGTCACTATGTACCTAGGGGGTCCGAGACGGATAATATTGGGCACGCTGAATTGCAGGCAAACCCCAAATCAAGCGTGGGTGGATGGGTAGAATACATCTGTTCAAGTTAATGTCAAGACAAATGGATATACCTATACCTATACCTAGGTGTAGCTCCGAAAAATGACATCATAGAAGGCGCGGAAACATGTAGGTATCATGATCTCACTAGTAGCTCTTTACCGACGTCATAGGTAGGCAGCTAGGTAGGTACCTAGGTATAGAATGCGATGACCGCCTCGGACCGTGGGTGACGGGTTCCCCTCGTGCAACACCCAAAACGGAGCATCTCCTCGCAGATGACATGGCGTCGCCCAGCACCCCCTCTCTGTTACAACCAAAGCCGGTTCCTACGGGATTCATCTTTTTCTTTCTCTTTCCCTGCTTGCTTGTTCGACATTCCCCATTACTCGGCCCAGTCTACGTACGCACCCCCAAGCTGCCGCCCTCCAAGGACTGACAAGTTGGATGGCCACAGACATCGAGACAGATAACTAGCTGCCTGGCTCGCATTGGTTCGCCCCTCCACAGATCCCTGCTAGAGCGGGCAGCGGGAATGATACCATCCTGCATACGCACTGCAAGACGATAATTCGCCCCACCGAGAACGGTAACATTGCATCTCGTCTACCTGGGAGGGACCAAATAGTAAGTCGAACGAGTGCCTTGCTGACATCCTCGGAGCATACGATTTCCCTTTCCTTCCCTCCGTCTCGCGTGTGCCCATTTTTGCGTGGGGGAGGGGGGAGACCAACCGTTCCCTCCTTGGAAAGTGGCATTCTGGGAAAGCCTAGGTTCGGAGGCTGGCTGGTTGCCACAATGGGGAAGACGTACGCGAGAGTCAACGAGGAAGCGAGAGGGGAAGAGAAGGAGACGATAGGGAGCAGCTAACTAACCAGTTCGGTAGTTGCTCACCCTATAATCAACCGAAGGCCGACCCTGGTGCAAGGAGCATCACCCTGAACGTACCATGTAGGCCATGAATGATTTCCCACTCCTCGACGGCAATTCGAAAGGCGTATCAGAGCTCGAGAGGATGTCACAGCTGAGCTGCAAGGGCAATACTCGATTCCCAGCCTTGACTTACATGTAAAACGTCCTGCGGGGCTTAGGTTATAACAGCGGGAAAACACAGGCAGCTAACATCTAGGTCTACCCTAGGAACCGTTCGCTCTCCATTCGCTCGAATAAGGGAAATGCCGCGGTAGGGCAGCCGATACCGGCATCTTCGCCTGTACCGCGACGCAACAAGGGATTCTCGTTCGCGTCTTTACGCGGCTCGATTCAGCCTGAGCTGTCGCGGCGGCTGTACCAGCTTATCAAGTCAACCAACAGCCTGGTATCGGCGCATGAGGCGGCGGGACGCGAGCGCGAGGTTGTGGCGAGGCAACTGTCGGAATGGGGCGAGCAGACGCGTGACGACGCCGTCTCCGACATCAGTGACAAGGTGGGTGTCGTGCTGTCTGAGCTCGGCGCCCAAGAGGAAGCTTATGCCCATACGCTCGATGAGGCGCGCGGCCTTCTCAAAACCATTCGCAATACCGAGAGGAGTGTCCAACCCAGCCGCGACGCGAAAAGCAAGATTGCAGACGAGATACAGAGGCTCAAGCTCAGGGATTCTCAGAGCGCGCGCCTTGTCGTTCTGGAGCAGGAGCTAGTCAGGGCGGAGGCGGAGAATTTGGTTGCTGAGGCCCAGCTGACAAATGTTGTATGTACCCCCGAGTTTCCTGGTATGGTGGTCGGTGGGCGAAGCCACTAACTGACGCGTCGTGTGAACGCGCGAGCGTAGACCCGTAATAAGCTGAAAGAAGCCTACGACATGGAATTTGTCGCCGTCATCGAGCGCGCAGAAAAGCAGATCCTCCTCGCCAGACACGGCCGTCGTCTACTCGACCTCTTGGATGACTCGCCTGTGACACCGGGCGACCCGAGGCGCGTTTACCAGAACAGAACGGCCTCGCGGCAGGTACTCAATGACGCGGAGGATGACCTCAAGAGCTGGGAAGTGCATGCTGGCGGCCTCGACTCAGACGGAGACGGCGCTATCGGGATTGTCGCGGCTGGGCACGGTGATAGGGGGCCAGGAGGGGGCGAGGCGTCTATGATGTCCGGTGCCATTCGCTGGCCATCTGCTGATGAGGGCAAACCGGGCTCTCGAGGAGCATCTGACGAGAGCCCCATCCTCAACGGTGCCGAGTAAACACGAGCAGGCATGCCTAAGAACATGCGATACTATAGGCACCATGGCTTGCGCATGCCACGCTGGGAATTCGGCTAAGAGAGAGTTGGGCCGACTCGTACCAAAATAAAAGTTCGTGAGAGAAACATTGAATGGGTTAATGTATCTGCGTTATCGTCTTGTTGGACTGGCCTCGGGCCGCACACTTAAAAGTACAGGAGGAGGGGCCGGCGACGCGAGTTTTTATCTACACTCGCTTAAATGCCGTAACGGGGGAGAGGAGGGTACCTAGGTATAATTAGGTAGCTTTCAGCTGATACTATACCTACCTAAGTAATAAAATTAATTACAGTACCTTATGAAGTTAATAATCTTTATATATATAATTATTTTATTAGCTTTTTAATAATAATAAATTATAAGTAAGTATTTAATTATAAATTAATATTTCATTATAATAAAATTAATTATAAAATGTTTAATAATATAATTATTATATATTAATTTAAAATTAATTATATATTTATTATTATTTTTTGAAATTAATAAATAATATAAATATTTTATATAATTTAATAATATAATAAAAACGTAACAGAGTTGAACTCGTTAGAAACTCTAAATTATATTTATATAAAACGAGGTTTTAATAGATTTAACAAAGTATAAGAAGGTAATTCAGCGCAAGTATATCACTAGTAATACCTACCTAAGTAGTATGTGAATAGGCAAATGTCATTCTACCTACTTACGGCTTTGACACTTTGAAGAAACCGAGAGACTGCGCTTCAACAAGATGAATAGCAATACCGCTTTGCGCAGAACCCAGCTTCGAAAGCCACTTTTGAGCCTATGTAGGGGGTGTAGCCGACCTTTCCCTCCCCAGTCGGCTAGATCGTATACTACCGGGGCCGGCTCTAGGCCGCTGGACATCTACGATGTTGTATGCGTCGGCGGTGGGCCTGCGGGCCTAAGTCTGCTCACCGCGCTCCGTGAGTCTGCCGCCCCGTACCGATGATTCTACACGAACTGAGACGAGGTACGCAGGGTCGAACCCCACCACTGCTGGCTTACGCGTCGCCCTTGTTGAGGCCCAGGACCTAGCCAAGACCCGCGCCTGGCAGATGCCGCACGACCGGTACTCAAACCGGTGCAGCTCGCTAACGCCTAAATCTGTACGCTTCCTCGCCTCGATCGGCGTGTGGGACCACATGCAGCGGGCCAGGG